GGACCACATGATGGACCTAGGGATAATTCGATCATCGAATAGTCCATGGTCATCTCCATTGCACATGGTCCCTAAAAAGGACAGCAATGATTGGCGGCTAACTGGTGATTATCGGCGCCTGAATGCGAAATCCATTCCCGATCGTTACCCGCTGCCTCATATTCACGATTTGACAGCTACCTTGAAAGGTACAACTGTCTTTTCGAAAATCGACTTGGTTAAAGCTTATAACCAAATCCCGATGGCAACTGACGACATTCCTAAAACCGCCATCATCACTCCCTTCGGTCTTTACGAATTCTTACGAATGCCCTTTGGTTTAAGAAACGCGGCTCAAACCTTCCAAAGGTTTATAGACGACGTCTTCCGAGGTCTCAACTTCGTGCATGCGTATGTTGATGACTGTCTAATAACAAGTCCGGACAGAGAATCACATCTCCAGCATCTGGACATTGTTTTCGATCGACTCCAAAGACATGGCATTACTGTAAACATTCAGAAATGACAAATCGTAACCAACTCCTTAGACTTCTTAGGACACACTATTGATGCTCAAGGCATCCGACCTCTTAGGAGCAAAGTGGCGGCCATTCTGGATTACCCAGAACTGACCACGATCAAGCAGTTGCGAACGTTTAACGGCCTCGTAAGTTTCTACAGACGGTTCATACCTAAATGCGCATCTCTTATGAAACCGTTAACCGATCAGCTTCGTGGAAATGCGAAATCAATTAGTTTAGACGACACAGCCCGAAAAGCCTTCTCCACAGTTAAGGAACACATCGCTCAGGCAACCCTGCTTGCTCATCAGGACACTCAAGCGCCCATTAGTATCGCAGTAGACGCATCCGACTCAGCAATCGGAGCAGTCTTACAACAATGGGTTAACAACTCGTGGCAACCTTTAGGATTTTTCTCGAGACGGTTGCTACACGCGGAATCTAGGTACGGCACGTTCGGTAGGGAACTCCTAGCTATGTATTGTGCTGTACGGCATTTCCAACATTCCATCGAAGGAAGAGAATTCACGCTTTTTACCGATCACAAACCTCTTACCTCCTCTTTAAATTCATCTTCAGACAAGTACTCACCGCGAGAGTCTCGACAACTCCACTACATTTCGCAGTTTACTTCAGACATACAACACATTTCTGGAGCTAACAATGTAGTCGCAGACGCTTTCTCTCGAATAAGTTCCTTGAACAGTTTCCAAGGAATCGACCTTCTTAAACTCGCTCAGCTTCAAAAAGAAGACATTGATCTTCAGCATGAGTTATCCTCGACAACTCTAAAACTAAGTATTAGGCAGATGGGAACAGGTAAGGAAACCTTACTCTGTGACACATCTACAGGTAGGGATCGTCCAATTGTACCAAAACGTTATCGCCGCAACGTCTTCAATATGTTGCACAATCTTTCTCATCCAGGTGCTCGTGCAACAATCGAACCTATAGCCGAACGCTTTTGTTGGCCTGGCATGAATAAAGACGTGAGGGGGTGGGCACGCTCCTGTGTAAGCTGTCAGAAATCTAAGGTAATCAGACACAACAAATGTCCCTTAGGTTCTTTCAAAACCCCTGACGCTCGTTTCGACCACGTCCATCTAGATTTGGTAGGACCCTTACCCGACTCGAACGGATACTCATATCTCCTAACATGCGTAGACCGTTTCACTCGATGACCAGAAGCAGTACCGATTAAGGACATTACTGCTGAAACCGTGGCCCGCGCTTTCGTCGAACGATGGGTAGCAAACTTCGGCTGCCCTTCCACAATCACTACAGACCGCGGACGCCAGTTCGAATCTGGACTTTTCCGTTGTCTAACCACACTTTTAGGAATCACGCGCTTCCGAACGATCGCCTACCACCCACAAGCAAACGGGTTGGTAGAACGTTTTCATCGACAATTAAAGGCTTCATTATCAGCTTCAAACGTTTCACAGTGGACAGACGCTCTTCCACTCGTCTTGCTAGGTATCCGCAATGCAGTGAAAGCTGACATTGGATACACGGCATCTCAACTCGTTTACGGAACGACACTTCGACTCCCAGGAGAATTCGTGGATCCTTCAGCTTCTTCATTGAACATGGATCTAAACTCTTACACGAGTAGGCTTACAAACGCAATGCGTTCAGTTAAACCTGCTCACACTCGACCTCAATCAACTGATGTTTTCGTTCAACCCGAATTACGACATAGTACACACGTCTTCGTTCGTCGAGACTCACATCGACGACCCCTCGAATCAGCATACGAAGGTCCCTTCAAAGTTCTTCAACGCGAACCTAAGTACTATGTAGTCGATAAGAACGGCAGGAACGATAGCATCAGTTCGATCGACTCAAAGCAACGTACTTAGAAGGAAACCCTAGCTACGTGGATTTCCCTTCGGTACAAGCAAACGACACAGCTACTACACTCGTAGTACCATACACGACAAACGACACACAACTTGATACTTCGTCAACGTCGATAGAAAAACCTAAAACAACGCGTTCTGGAAGACGAGTAAGATTTCCAGAACATCTTAACGAATATTGCACGTAGGACATAAGCTTTATCTTGAATTGCCCTTCCATAGTTCATTATAAAAAATTTTTAATATGATAATTTTTTATTTATTTAAAAAAACCAAAAAAAACAAAACATTTTTATTATTTTTGAGCGTATATATATATTTTTTATATATAAAAAAAACAAAAAAAAAACACTTTTTTCCTGATCGCTTTTACGCTGTTTGTAAGTGTATTAGTTTATTATTTTTTCCGCTCATCTTGTGTCCCTACGCAAGTACGAGTGTATTTCCGACATGCACTCACACGTTTTATTTTTCCTCTTTTCCAGGACGGCTGGAAAAGAATGACGAAGTTTCTCAAGGAACCGAAATTTTCATTGTACTATATTTCTTTATTGCTATGTTGTACATTTTGGTCCCATAGTTTAAGGAAAGACGACCAGATGCTGCTAAACGAAGCGAGCTATCAGAAGAGTGTTTACCAACGACAAACGCGTTGGGTTTAAACTTCTGGCTGGTCACGTCTTAGGGGCATCACTACCTCACTAGGGGGGGAGTGATCTGTAGCTGTAAATAATTCCCCAAAATCAATAGTTCATTAAGTGTTCGACATTGGATGCTGACCACGTGTTTAAGTGGACTTGTTTAGCTGAAGGCTTTCGGTCATGCATCCGCACCAGATCACGTTTCAACACGGCGTGGGACACAGCTCCTACGTTTCATTAGCCAACTCATAGAAAAGGTCCTCGATATATTGGTAACGAATCAAATATATCTTTCCTGCCTCTTCTCGTCTGACTTCTGATTTCTATCTGACTGGTAACAATCGAATATAGAAGGTGCTACTGGTAGCTAGTTGTAAAATTAGAACATCCGTTGCATCATCAAAATCATCTTTAACTGATTGACTCACCTCATATCTAAAACATCGACATTTGAAGGTTAGAGTTAACTTACCTTCTCCAAGGCTATAGAATGTCCTAGTGTGGTGTGGTCTACTTATATCCATATAAGTAGTACATGGTGTTGGTCGGACATAGAATGTATTTTGGAAGAAGGCCGATGAGGAAAGAACTGAAGCGAAGCGCAATCAGAAGGAAAATGCACGAACAATGGAATTAGAGAAGAAACAGTGAAGATCGAGACTATTGGTTATTAATTTGCAAATTAACTGTCCATTGTATGGTTTTCAGAGTTTACTGAGGTAGTCTGTAATTTTTGCTTAAATACATTCGATTGTCCCCAACTAGTGTTCTGTTCACTACACTAGTGGTGTCTCTCAGGGTCCAGTGCTAGGACCTCTTCTTTTGTTGATTTATATAAGCGACCTTCCACAGCAGATATCGTCAGATTTGTTACTTTTCGCTGATGATGTGAAGCTCTGGCGAGAAGTATGGAGCCATAATGATGAACTGGCACTTCAGGAGGATATGACTCGACTTCGAATTCGGACAGACGACAACGAACTTAACTCTAACACTTCAAAGTGTAAAGTAGTCCATATGAAATATGTTACAGCCTACAAATACGACTTGGGGAACTTCCCTCTAGAAGTACCCTAAGTTGAAAAAGATCTAGGAGCGCTAGTATCCTATAATTTGAATTCTTACGCTAACTGTGACAAGAATGTCTTCTGAGCAAATCTTGTACTAGTAAAGTTGAAGCGCATTTTTGGCCAGTTTGACGAAAGAACTTTTTACATAATCTTCAACAGTTTTATTCATCTCCATTTAGAGTACGGAAACAGTATTTCCTCCCTCACAGCAAAAGGATTAGGACACTCTGGAACGTGTCTAACGGCGAGTCACGAAATCAATTAGCGGACTCAAATTCAAGTCTTATGAAGAGCTACCATAATCACTTGACCCTCACTCATTAGGGTACAGGTGTCTTGGAGGTGACTTTCTAATGACTTACAGTATCCTTAAAACCTATGGACATCCCCTTAAACACATACTTAAGCTTAGTCCCAACACAAATCTTACGGGTAACAACTAGAAACTGGAGACACAACATAGCAGAACGGAGTGAAGACAGACTTTCAACCCCGTAAGAATGGTCAAATGCTATAATTTGCTGACGGCTAAGCTAGTTCAGGAGACTTCCCAGTAGTCCTTAAGTGAGAATTTGACATATTCTTAAGGACTAATGACTGTATCTTACTATGATTTTCCAACTTTTTCTCTTTTACCTCTTTTATCCTTAATATACGCTGGTTCTCCACTGAGGGCATCGGTGATCCACTGCTAATAGATATGGAAGCCCGTTAAGCAAAATCTTCTATTCTGTCCAGAACCATTTGAAGCTACAAAATATTTAGAAATTCATTAATAACTACTAAGTTGACTAGAATTAGTGCAGTCGAGCGGTTTAACTACCACCACTGGACATCAGCAAATACCCGGAACCTTAGTGAAACATCATAAAGTGAGAGCAAGAAAACCAATAAGTGTATACAACTTCGTGATAGAGATATTGGATATTGGGTTCTATGACCTAGGTTCAAGGTTGCGTAGTCAGCTTTCAAGGTGAAAGCAGTCGTCTGCCTGTCTAATTTCAAATGATTAAGATTAAATAGACTGAGTTTTTGGTTGTTTAATTCTCTTCCAAACTTGAAAGTGAGGCTTTGAGATTAGTACGTCGATTGCTTAGATTTATGTGCCTCAACTTAATATACTGAAGACTGAGTTTACGTCTCTTTTATTCTCTGGCGAATAACATGTTAGGAGTCATAGTGAGTTCAATTTATAGTTTGCGGTTTCAGTCATAGTAATTAGCGTGTTCAAGTCTCTGACTGTATGCGCAGTTATAGCTACTTGGTTATAAAAAATAAGCAATCGCAGTATACTTAACTTCCTGAAGGAAATTCCACACCTCTTGTTAGATATATTCTGTGACTAAAAAACTCGAATCTTAATGGTAAGGTGTCGCTACTGGCAGGGATAATCAGTGTAAATAATTCGTACTGGCCAACTTGAATCAGTTGATCATCTACAAATATAAATACTAACTAATGCATAAGCAATGAGGAACCAGGATAAAACGGTAATTGTACTATTAGGGCTTGCAATGTTTCAGTCTGATCAACCAATATTCTTTATGTGGAAATAATTCTCTGAATCAGCAGCAAGGTTTGGTAAATTCAGATACGCCTATGCTGCTAAGTTGGTCGAATCTCAAACTAGCTTTAAATATTTTGTTCCTCTTAATAGCAAATTAGCACACACGTAATTAAAGCCAAAAATCGACTCTTCGAAAGTGGTTAAGTGAGAACTTGCATAAAACCCGGAGATTGTAGTATATAAGCGCTGTTAGTGAGTTCCATAATAAATTTTTTGGCTTTAAAATAATTATGGTCGTAAACATTTTCATTTCTTTGAGAATGAATGGTAAAGTTGGTGTATTCGTTTTCTTGCAATACTTCTTGTGAGTCTTTTCATGTATTTAAAGGCTGATTTATCTTGTTGGCGTGCTCATCCTAGAGGACTAAGGTTTCCAGAGTCAGCTATTGCTGCGTCACTGGACAGTCTCTTAATTAACCATACTAAGTTGGAAAATGGTGTGCATAGAAACAAAAACGATAACAGGACGATCAGTAAGTGAGGGGGTACTGAGTTAAATGTGGATGAAAACTAATTATGATAATAGCAGCTTTTCTTATTGGGGATACATAGATGATTCTCTAACCTCTAGCGAAACCGTTGTTACTTCAACTGGTAGAGTATTCCAGAAGACACATTCGTAGTTCGTTTCTTGATGGGTAAATCTGTACGGGTTACCTCTTAAATACTCACGATGGTCATCTAATGGAATTACCTTACTGGGACAACCTAGTGTACTCACCACACCGGTACCCATGTTGAAGCGGTTTTGCATTCCATCTCTAGTCAGCCAAAATCTTTACATTCCTCACAAACATAAAACTCATTTTTACCAATCCAATATGGTTCGAATCAAGGGGTCATACCCAGGTCAGGTCAGGTCAGCTACAACGTAGGACCAGGCACATATATGCATCGGTCCAAGTTGCCATACCTCGTTAGCACAACAAGAGGAACACCGGATTCATAGTAGTTAATCTAGTGTTGGTAGTAGTATATAAATTATAGGTTGTATATAAGGATATAGTACAGGAAGGAAGAGAGATATGAAGCAATTTTAGTCTCAAGGTTTAAGGGAAGATAAAGAGTGTATACACCTACGCCATTGTGACCGATTCTGAGCCATGTCACCTAGAGTCTCCAACCATTGGTTACGATAGTCACGCGGACCCCAACCAGGTAGTCTGCATCTGCCAACATGGCTCAGGCTAGAAGTTAGTGACTTCAAACACTGATGCCATGTTTTGGTTTGGCCGCCCCTAACTCTCTTCCAACCGTCCCCAATACTAGTCATCATAGCGCGTCGTGGTAATCGGTGTTCAGGCATACGTAAGACATGGCCCAACCATCTCAGTCGATGAAGATTCATCACCTCATCAACTGATTTACCATCGTTCCCTAATACCCTGCGTCTAACCTCACTATTACTTACCCGGTTATCCCAGCAGATGCGAGCAATATTTCTAAGGCATGTGTGGTCAAATACTAGTAACCTACGAGTATTTTCTACTCTTAATGGCCATGTTTCACAGCCGTAAAGTAGGACAGAGCGAACTGCTGCGCAGTATACTCGTCCTTTAATTGATAGACGGATATCTCGTCTACGCCATAGGTGACGTAAGTTGGCAAAAGCCAAACGAGCTTTTTGAATCCGTGCTGAGATTTCGTCAGACACCAACCCATTAGGGCTGATCAGACTTCCAAGATAAGTGAAGTTGTCGACGCGTTCGACTACTTCACTTCCTATCCTTAGTTCGAGTGTCATACCCAATAGTCTTAACATTATCGTAGGCTGACATTTCATAAGCTTGTATGGTAAAATTATTGTACAGAAAAGAGCCAACCAGGATGTCTAACGCAACTTTCTGGTTTTTGCTCAATGTTCAAATCACACGTATAACAGCCTGTAGAAAGATCTTTGTATAGTATTTAGAGCATTAAAAGCAAGTCCTTTTGTTAATAAAAGATAAAAAATAATATTAAATGTATTGAATGACCATTTCTGTCTATAAATTGTATATAACAGGAAAACCGATTCTACCCCTAAATGTTAACCTTAAGAACTTATTTCTAAGAAAAATAACTTGTTGGTATTATGTTTATTTACACTCACAATATGGGTTGTTTTTAAATAGGTAGTATTAACTTTCAGGTGTAAGTCGGCAAACTACTTTCCACTGATTACAGTAAGATATACAATAACATTTGCAAAAACTTATGCAACTCAGTAATTGAGTGCAATATTGTGCTCAGTCTCAAGAAACATTATATGACACCTCCATTTACTAAACTGTTTAGACAAAAGTGGGGTTGTAGGTTGCATGAAGATTAAACATCGATTGATCTCACTAATTATCTACGTCAATAGTAAGAAGCCTGTACCGTATTTACAGCTCATGTTAAACATTGCGACCCAAGTAATATGTATATTGTCATATATTAAAGCGATATTGTCTGTATACGTGACGTCGAAAATTCGTAAAACAAAAACTGTCCAGAAGAACCTGCAAAAATATGCTCCGGATAGATATCCGAAAAATCCATTTGTCGTCTCACCTGTGGTTAATTCTTAATCAACTTCTGTTCATTTTGTATTATCCTAGCTGTTTTTGGTGGTATCGAAAGCCTGAATTACTAGTCCTTAGTGCTAGTCCTTAAGATGACTGTCTCGACAATCGTCTACAGTAGACACGCTTGAAAAACCAGGTACTAGTCTTTCTGCATACCTTAAACAGCTGAGCTGTGAAGATAGTGACTAAATCAGATACCATGTATTTGATGAGCATTTACAAGTGTGAAATGCAAATGACAATACCAAAAAAACCTTCCCTCTCTTTTCAAAAGTTTGGTGTGATGGAGTTATTGAGTGGTATTTCATGATCTGAATCATCGTATTAAACAACACAAGGTTTCGATGGAGTTTTTTTCTCTGAGCTGGGTGGTTTGGTCGTAGAGCTTTCGTCATTCTTCTGAACGACATCATCAGCAAAAAATTCAGGTAGAGGTGAAACGTTCGAATTTCTCCACATGTGGTTCACAGCTTGTCCTGTACACCTCGTTGTTGATTGGTTCTTGTTTACCTTAAATCTGTCATTGTTTATTTCTTCGCTTTGGTTGTATCTCCCATTAGTTTGATTTTTGTTCCTATGTTTCTGCACAATTTTTCTGATTGGTTGATAAATTGGATTGAATCCAATGTGCTTGTTTATTGCTGATTAACCTGAGTGCCAAGCTTCTAAAATTTCTCTGGCGTTTTTGGAATTGCCTCTATCCAAAATCTCCAGGACAAGCTGTGAACCGCATGTGGAGAAATTCAAACGCTTCACTTCTACCCGAGGTGTGTGCTGATGATGTCATTCAAAAGAATGATGAAAGCTCCACGACCAAACCATCCAGCTCAGAGAACAAAATCATCCACCTGATCTGCAGATCTCCACCATCTCAATAACACAAGGTTCGAGTAAACTAAGTAGTTAAAAACGCCTTTGTGTTTATTTCTACTTGGATTTTTATTTTAATATTTCACTTTCCACTGCTTATTTTAATTATTGTTACCAATGTTCCGCGGATGGATTTCTGTTATGACTTTATAAAAAGAAGGCCGTTGCCAATTCGTTATGATTTTATGTCCGGCTTTATCACGTGAGTTATCCACCAATCAGAATACTTGTCTAATCTTAACTGTGTACCAAATCAATGACGTTCAACTGGTATGAGCAGTCTAGCGTCCTTATTGGTCCCTTGTCCGCCTAGCCCTTCCAATCGAGTCCAGGACACCAAATGCAGCTTCTGCTATGCGAATCATTTATTTCAAACATACCCGGTTTATATACCAGACAGACAGACCGCATCACACCATAAAATAGAAAATAATATTTGTACAAGATCAAGCCAAATATGGCTGTGAACGTGGGAGACAATCATCAATAAACTGAGTATAATTTGGGGACAGTGATTCGTATAATAATAATGACCAATTTATTTATTTATTTATTTAAACACATATATATTGGTACAAAAGGGCACCAGATACATATGCGCCACACAAAATAATGAAAGTAAGAAGAGAAGGGATGAAAAGATAAGGCGGACTGAAATGTACAACCAGAAGACTCTTTCAGTTAAGAAAGTTAGAACCACTCTTCATGTAGAAAGTAAAAGAAGGTTGCAGCAGCCTCGCCACTGGCTTCTATTCTGAGCCATATCTGATAACGTCTCTAGCCACTGTGTTGCACCATCTCTCGGACTCCAGCCAGGGAGTCGTGAAGGACCAGCAGAAGCTAGCCCTTTGCAGCTTTCATGCCACGACACCATGTCATACACTGATCTCCTCTCCGCTTTTTCCAACCAGTCCCAGAGTCGGCAAATAATGCACGGTGTGGAAGTCTCTGAGACGACATTCGTAAAACATGTCCAAGCCACCGAAGTCGGTGTTTCAAGATGGTGACACCAATTGAATTATCGTCTCGGCGCATTACTAACATGGTGTTGCCACTGTATGTCAGCAATCCTTCGGAGACAACGATGATCGAACACAGAGAGACGTCTAACATCCTCAACTCGGAGAGGCCAGGTTTCACAAGCATAGAGCAAAACTGCTCTCACCAACGCGTTGTAAATCTGACCTTTTACAGCCAGACTAACATGGCCCAGATTGGCATAAGCCGCTCTGGCTTTCTTTATACGTGCATCAATCTCATCACTCACGCCACCACCAGCACTTATATAGCTACCTAGATACACGAACTTCTCAACTACTTCAATCTGCTCACCATCCAGGGTGAGTACAGGATTAGAATCCTGCCAGTCTTGTAGGAGTACCTTGCACTTGGAGGGTGCAAAGCACATGCCGTACCTGCGGACACTGATTGCCAACTGATTAAGTGCTGATTGCATGCCTTGGGCATTATCGCACAGTAAGACAATATCATCCGCATACTCGAGGTCGAGAAGTCGTTCTCCAGGCAACATATCCACACCGCAATTACTTACATTCATCAGAGCTGTTTCCAGGATGTCATCAGTGGCAAAGTTGAAGAGGAATGGTGAGATCGTGCAACCCTGCCTAACCCCACTGCTCGAATGAAACAAGGGAGAAAGGTGGTTGTATGCCCTCACTCTGCCTGAGGTGTTCGTATACAGGGCCTTTAAGATGTTAATGAACTTCTCAGGCACACCCTTCTTCAATAGACAATCCCAGAGAACAGTCCTGTCCAACGAATCGAAGGCAGCCCTGATATCAAGAAACACTACGATTGTTGGCCTGCGATAAGTATGACGGTGTTCTAACATTTGGCGGAGGGTGAAGATGTGATCAATAAATCCTCGACCAGAACGAAAACTAGCCTGCTCCTCGCGAGTCAATCGTTCTCGGGTTTTAAACAACCTACGAAGAATGACAGAAGCCAATAGTTTGGACGCAATCGGAAGTAGACTTATCCCCCAATAGTTGTTGCAGGAACAACGTGAACCCTTTTTAAAGATAGGGACAACTATTGAATCGTTCCATGATGTTGGAACACTTTCTTGCTCCCAAACCTTTGCAAACAACACCGTCAGTTCCTTAGCCAGAAAGTCGCCACCATCTTTAAAAAGCGCCGGAGGTAAGTCATCTGGGCCAGGTGATTTGTAGCGCTTCAGGAGTTGGCGTTCCTTGCGGACTTCCGCCTCGTTTGGTGGATCAGTCGTCACCGGCCATGGTTTCAGAAAGACTGCTTCAGTATTCGTAATCGGTGGAAGCATTCACTTTCAACTAGACAGTGACTGGAGATCGTTTAGATAGGACAGAGTTTCCACCATGGGCGAGCTACTGCATAAATTGGAAAGGAAGGATACACAATTTGGGAATAAAGGGAGTGAAAAAGCGACGTAGTAAATAATAGTAATAATAATAACAATAATAATAATAGTGTAAATTGTCTTGCTTCTAGTATGAGCGAGAATAGTATCGTCAATAGAATTCATCATTTCATTTATTTGTGTGTGGGCTGTGATACTGCCCGGGTGCACAAACCGAAGCAGGTGGTTTTCTTAAGGGGTCACACCCGGACATTTTGACCTAAAGGTCTGATCCACAAGGCAGTGGAGCATCGTGAGGAGATGCAGTCCCATGGTAGCCAGTGACCGACAGCAGGTTCATTCGCCATTCGTTCCCTCAGGATACTGGAGCCCATGTGCACTATTGGTTTGGAATCAGGGTTTTCCAACTCCCCTAGGTGGACTCTCCGTGTCCACCAACCCGGTTAAAGCGCCGGACATTCGCTTTTCGTCCTCTTAATTTCGTAAACAACAGTAATGCCATGAGAAGGCAGTGAGTAGGACTTCCCTGGCAGAGGCTGTATACGCGTGGCCGTGTAAGAGCATTTCCAGAGGGCAGGTCCCCCCCACTCTCGGCCGTACCAGGGCATTTGTGGGCAATAATCCATAAGTCAAAATGAAGCTTGTAATAGGATGAATGTATAGAATATATAGAATAACAGTCCACTAACAGGTTCCAAAAATTACCCGTACTTTCATTATCACCCCAAATGTCCTGGTACGGCCGAGAACGGGGAGGACCTGCCCTCTGGAAATGCTCTTACACGGCCACGCGTATACAGCCTCTGCCAGGGAAGTCCTACTCACTACCTTCTCGGGACGGCGGGGGTATTGTTTACGAGATTGAGAGGATGAGAAGCGAATATCCGGCGCTCTAACCAAGCTGGTGGATACGGAGGATCCACCTAGGGGAGTTGGAAAACCCTTATTACAAACCAATGGTGCACATGGGCTCCAGTATCCTCAGGGAACAAATAGCGTATGAAGTGATCGCTGGTCACTGGCTACCATGGGACTGCATCTCCTTATGTTGCTCCATTGCCTTGTGGATCAGACCTTTAGGTCAAAGGCTCCGGGTGTGGCCCCTTAAGAAAACCACCTGCATCGGTCTGAGTACCCGGGCAGTATCACAGCCCTCACACAATTAAATGAAATGACAACTTTTTGTGTGGCGCATATATATCTGGTGCCGCTTTGTACCAATATTTATGTGTTCAAATAAATAAATTATCACTAGGATATAACAATTTCAATCATTGTTTTTGTGTGGTCCTAGTACTACAGAGCACTAATGATTTGTAGATTATATTGTTTCTTATTGTTATTGAAGATTTTACCATTTATGTTCACACTATCCGCAGTTTTTTGCTGTGTTGTATTTGGATGCAAATATAATTGACTAATATCTTGTAAACTTTTAGTGTTCGTAAATTCATATGATTCAACTTGATTTTCAATGGGTGTTATATACTAATGATGGAGTTCGAGAGATTATCGGAAAATATATCTGAACAGCTTGTTCAGACGACGAGGTCGTTGCAATCGTTTCGAGATCGTTCACTCTTCACTGATGTTATCTTATGTGCTGGTGATGAAGAACTCCCTTGCCACAAGGCAGTACTAGCTGCTAGTTCAGCATATTTCTTAGTAAGTTTTGAGGTTTTTGATTTAGAAAAATAGTTAATTGTATGACTGTCAACTCTTATTTCATTCGTATTGGTTAGTTAAATCTTCCGATTAATCATGATTATGTCAAGGGCTTCAACATTTGCGTACAAATAAATGTACTTAGGTTCACCTTCCGTAACATCAGCAGCTTCATGTTTCAGTAAAAAAAATTTCGACAACTTCAAGTTCTTCCATTTAGTACCTTCAATTCATCATTATCATGATGGGGTGTGGCGCATATATATATGGTGCCTCCTTGTACCAATATTTATGTGTTCAAATAAAAAATAAATAAATGTGGTTTTATAGACCAGACTGTTTTATTGTATGAATTGTTCCCCTCACAAAAAACCACCATTGAATTGTTTTTCCATATTTTGTCGTCCTTCGAGATACATATTTCAAAATAAAGTAACGGTGAGTTTATAGCGATGATGAAAACCATCGATGTTGTGAATATTCAGAAATACGGTAACTATATATTCAGTTGTATTTAAATTCTAATACAGTTTCCATTTCTATTCATTTCTGTAGGCCATGTTTTCATCACCATATAAAGAACAACAAACTTCCCGAGTCAAGTTAGATTATATTTCTCCTTGGGCTCTTCGTCGTCTGCTTGATTTTGCATATCTTGGTTGCTTAGAAATTACAGAAGCCACTGTGCAAGATATATTTCTTGCTGCTAGTTTACTTGACTATCCAATAGCTATCAAATATTGTGTTGAATTTATGAAGAGTCATTTAGATGTTACAAATTGTTTAGGTATCGAGGCATTAGCTGAAATGCACAATATTACCGATTTAGCTCAATCATCGCATAAATTGGCTGTAGAAAATTTCTCCAGGTAAAACATCTTATTTTTACTTTCCTATCTACTGACTAGTTTAAAACTTTATTCTCAACCAAGGATACATTTACATGTTTTAACATCTGTTAGGGTCTGATTGAATCTCAGTAATGGGTACAAGGTAAAAAAAGCATCTATTTGGTTCCGAGTATTTCGTAGTGTTATGTCTTTGAAATTTTGCTCTGAAACGCATTACTTGGTTACAGAATTATGTGAAGTAAGTAGTTATTTTTAGAAAAATGATTCGTACTTAAGTTTACTTCAACGGGCTTCTCTATCACATATGATGCAGGGGTGTTGTTCACAAAAGTGAGAGGACGAAAAGCGAATGTCCGGCGCTTTAACCGGGTTGGTGGATGTGGAGGATTCACCTAGGGGAGTTGGAAAACCCTAATTACAAACCAATGGTGCACATGGGCTCCAGTATCCTGAAGGAACAAATAGCGTAGGAATCAATCGTTGATCACCGGCTACCATGGGACTGCATCTCCTCAGGATGCTCCATTGCCTTGTGGATCAGATCTTTAGGTCAAAGGCTCCGAGTGTGGGCCCCTAAGAAAACCACCTGCTTCAGTTCGGGCACCTGGGCAGTATCACAGCTCTCAAGCAAATCAAATGAGATTTGTATGGCGCATATGTATCTGGTGCTTCCTTGTACCAATATTTATGTGTTTAAATAAATAAATAAAATGATGCATACACAAATGTCAGGTGTAAATATACCTTCTATGTTTCAAACAAATATTTTTCACTGTGTATACTAAAATATAAATAATGTTGTAAAGTCAAAAGCAAGTAGGTATCTGGAACTCTTCCGCTCATTTGTCATTTTCTGAGCCTATAAAACACTAGTATTGAATCACCTGTTCAGTCTCATACATACCGTACTCTTGGTAATCTGTAATATATCTCGCGTATTTTATAAACAATGAATTCTGATATGCAATGACGGAATCTCGTGTATTATTGCTTTGGCTTTGTGTGGTTTGTCAACCACTATTTAGAGCATTGTCATTCACTTTTAATGCTTACTGGATATGAATTTTCACTCTTATCCCATAGCCCATAATAGAAACCGGCGACGGTCTTGCTGTGATTATCTCTTACTTTCTTCATAAAAGTGAACGTAACTTTTTTAACTGAAGGAATTCTGGTTTTATTTTCACTAAATGAACTGTTTCTCCGATTATTATTATTTCACTCTCATACACTAATTTCTGTTCGCTGTTGTTCATCTTTTATCATGTTCACTTTACATTCTTTATCTCTTCACAACCTCATTGTTATAATGTGGCGCATATGTATTTGGTGCCCCCTTTTACCAATATTCATGTATTCAAATAGTAATAATAAATAGCTAAAACAAATGGATCATGGTTTCATTAATTAGTGTTATCGATCAGTGTAATCGTTTTAGGGCTTCTACCACCTTTATCCTGTGTCATTTAAAATTAGAGGTCAACACAAACAGGTGTCTGGTACGCGCAACACATGTTCCATCCGTCTTACCTAATTCACACTGTGAATTTCATAAGCTAATTCACATACATTCCCTGAAGTCATACTTGTTACCTCCATATTTATTACTTTATGATGCTACAAAATATGTACTATAAGTCAACGTAACTAATGATAAAACGATTGCAATCTATTAATCTAGTTCATTTTCGTTCGATGTTGAGTTTACATAATGGAATAGTACATTACTATTGTTTGGTAATCTCGAATATGTAAATTGAGTACATTCATTGACTTTTACACCCCTATGCTAAATAAAATACCACTAATTCTGCTAATGAATTAACCTTTTTTGTCAATTTTACCACAATTATCAATGTTCTCGTAAATTTTAAAGTTGGTAAACACTCCCTTTAAGTAGTTTTATTATATTTGTGTAGAAAATACATGATAATGATTCGATTATCATAATAACAATGTTGTTAAGGAAACAAAATATTCGGACCAATCAGTACGAAAAAGGATCTATACATCTCCTAAAAACAAAAAACAAAATCTTGTTCCACATCTATTAGGCATCACTGGATTCTCAAATGCTCCATGAATTTACTCATATAAGTCATCATAACCTTAAACTGAACAGGTTATTTTTAGTAGCTTTGTTCTGCCTGGAGCCCTTCCAGGGTTCCGAAATTAATTACTCTTGCTAAATAAACCAAAATTTTAATTAGGTAAAGAACATCATGTTACTTTGCTACGAAATTCAGAGAAAATCGCTCATACATTTGACAGGACAAATTGGTTTGTATTGTCCACATACGACCACTGATCCTGATGTAATAAAACATTTAGGAAAAGCTTCAGAAAACTTACAATGCCTTAGATAATTTACTCCCCTTTTTCCTCCTGAATAACACGAACCTATTTATGCGAAATAACAGTAATCAGATGGTGGATAGTTTAGTTCAGTTAAAAAACCAACAGAAGATGTAATTTAAGACAATGGTACCTTGGATGCTGACAGTTGATATAATAGACGTAGTCCAAAGCTACAGGCCCATCCAAATCGTTTAAATCAATAGAATTCAGTGTATTGGAACTTGATTTATCATAGACTGTCTCCTCAGCCTTCACCGTTATGTGGATCGGTGGCGGAGGCTCGAATACATCATCTTCACCATTAGTTGGCTGAATGTGTTTACCGTAAGAAACATTCTGGGTCGATTCAAGTTGTTCTGTTCGAGGTATTTCTGTCATCTTGGGGATTCAAAAATGTTAGATATTAGAATTGTAATCCAAATTTACATATTATCGTTTACTTACTGGACATTTTCAATAAGAAAAGTGTCTAACATTGATGCATAAATTTCATGCAATTTATTAAAAAAAATCCACTCAGATTACGGAGAGCGCCTGGAGACGAAATCGTCAAACCGAGCAACATATTACCGATTCACCAGTATGAACTGCTAAGGAGAACTCAAACTACTCGATTTTCTTGTTATAAACAATAAAGAGGATACTGGTTATAACGCTTGCGGTTTCTGGTTATAACAGTCCTTTTACTTTTACACGTATGTGGGACGCTATTTTACCTTAGGTGAATATCTACACTAGATTCCCACCCAGTGTCTATTCTACAGGACTTCAACACAACTCAGATCAAGAACACGAGATTAGCCTGACTATAACGTCAATATATTTCCACACCAAAATCCGACACAAAGAACAGTCAATCAATAACAGTCCATCGACAAGTGTCTATCAATAAGTGTCAATACATAATAAGGATAGGGGAATATATATAACACATATAACACCTGTCATCCTATCTAATGTCTGACACATCAAGACAACCAATCATTGTCATTCCCGCCCACACATCATTTCTGTAATTACACGTTATTTTTCTTTTCTTAGAGAATAACCTCGATAGCGCTTTTCTAAACTATATTTCAGTAATTACCTATACTATTATTTGATCAGTTGTTTCTAATTACAGTTTGACAGTTGTGTTATGCATCTCAACGTCACTGGGTATTACTTTGTAAACGGAGTTGTCGAAGTTTTGGTCATCTGTTCGAAAGATAAAGTTGTCCTAAAAAGTCCCTTCACCAATTGGCGTGTGGATTACTAACGTCGAAGTGTTTTTCTTAGACGTCCGGTCCGTCAAGTTCCCATTAGTCTTTTTAGTATTAAAAGATTCTCAAATTATCGTAGGCCCAGCCGAAAACCAATCGCGATTACATTAAAAAACTTAAACAAACAACTCACGATTGATAAATACTGATAAAAACAAGTTCGAAACCTACTTCCAGCTTTTAAAGTTTGTTTATTGACGTAGTAGATACCTATATATATATATATATATATATATATATATATATATATATATATATATATATATATATATATATATATATATATATATATATATATATATATATATATATCTATCTTATCAACTTTAATAAAAAAATGCATTTACAAATACTTATAACTTCGTTTATTGAATTTATATTCTGCGAGAATGGTTACTTTTGGCTTATTAACTCCTGTAATTATAAGACCATGCTTAGATTCTTTCCATGGTTACTTCCGCTCCTAAGTCCGGGTAAAGGAACATGGTTGGTCATGCGGTTAGTAATCACATCCCATGAAAAAGAACTTTGCTAATAAAAGACGCTAGCCAGAAAAATTCATTTAAACTCTTCGCCCCGATTTGAAGGATCTTCATTTAGAAGAGTTATGATGCCTCATGGTAAAAACTGAGATTGTTCGAAAATCACAAGGCCGATTCCCCTTCTAACAACCAGAGCGATAATTAACATAGGCACATGGATTGTTCATGCAGTGTGGGGGACCGGAAGTCAGTCAGTCAGCTACAACGTTAAGGTAGCTGGGAAAATGAGAGTGTACAACCAGGCCGTGCTTGAAGTGTATGAAACCCATAGGAAGCAAGCTAAACAGAAAAGACTAGCTTCTAGAGGAGGTGCCGTTTTACTCTGGTGGTGAAAAAGATACAGCTCACACAAGGAATTGTGCTGTTGCTGTTTAAAGAAGCACGTAAAGCGTTTGTAGGATGGTAATCTTATGGATCCAGTATCACCAAAGCGAAAAGTGCAGGTGAGGACAACTAGTGTAGCAGGTGCATCTGCAGCAGTAGATCTCAACATTCACAGGGGAAAAAGAAAGATACTAAAATTCAATGCAGCGAGTACCAAGCAGACCACGTAATTGAAAATCTCCGGAAGCAGTGAAAACTTACGTACCTGGACTGTATCGTTGGTAAAGGGGGTCTAATGCAGATGTGAAAGCAAGGATTAGGAAAGAAAGGGCAGCATTCCATCGGTTTTTTAGGAATATCAGATTTCTAACTGACGGTGTTTATAGATTTGTGCACATGTATGTGTATAAACAGTAGTACTATGACAAGTATGAAAATTGGATTAAAAGACGCAGTATTATTGTGTAAAGTGAAATGTAAATGCTAAAGTTTTTATTTCCTGTGTTTATGATAACAGCTTACTAAGAGAATCTAACGAATGGACCAATTTGCCTATTTCGACTGTCATTTCATATATCTCTTCAGATGACCTAGATGTACCTTCCGAACAAGTGAGTCCTACGATCGTTGTTAGTTAGAGTAAATATTTAAATATGACGTTTCAAATGGATATAATTTTAGCAATTGAGAGATATTGGAGATATGTAACTACCAATAGATCCTTTATCCCTTAACAATTATTCTACATTGCTAGTTATCTTTGTCTACAATTGTTAAGTACAACAAACTTAAATGAGACTCAACTAAATGGTTTAACAAACACAATAACTTGATGTTAGTAGAGTTTTTGGATTTTTGGATTTTTTTAGAGGTTTTTTCCACTCACCTTAAATCGATAACGATAATAATATCAGGAATTAAGTTGTAATAATCAGAAAATTGGAGTGACCGAATGAACATCGTATTTGCTGTTTAATTTACCGAATTTTCAGTAGGAAATCTATGATTTACTAAGCCTAATAATTTTTTGGTAAATAAAACCAATTAATGACTTTGAAGGATTGTTGTTCATTGTTATCAGTTGTAGAAAGCTAAGTTCATATCATATAACCTGGAGCCAAAGTGAATTATTTTTTAAGGTATCAAGATTGGATACTACGAATAAATCTTAAGTGTCCAATCAGAAAAGTATAATACTTGTTAATAATTGGTATTTAATGAAAAGTGGCCTTAAACTAACCAATCTTTTAGAATCACAGATCAAATTAACAGTGTATATCTTGAATACTGGGGAAAATAGACTTTGTGATGTAAATTCTAACCTACTATTACTATTTATGTCATTACTAGAAAAGCTTTGAACTATCATGTTTTTGACATTCTGGATTAAATTTCGATCAGTCTTTGTTGGCGTTTGTGCGTCACAACTCAGTCCTGAATATTAATAAATGATGCTATAAACATCATACCTGTTGAACAAGTTAGTGGATATCTAAACTCAGTAGCTCAATGAACAGTGCGTTGACGTCCGAAGCGAAAGTTACTACATTCGGGTCTCAATGTAAATATTAATACTGGGATGCACGTACACTCAGCTAATGAGTCCCAAATAAGACGAAGAGTGGATTCTGAATTTAACTGCTAACCTCAGCGTATCTATTCTATAGAAATACTATTATAATTTCTAATACTTTTATATATTTAAGCGTTTTCGCTCATATCCTCTTTAATCGTATTTTAGTTTGTTTGGGATGCTTGTATTAATTGGGTCGACCAATCTTCTGAAACACGAATTGTCTACCTCCCTCAACTACTGTCACATATTCGTTTGAAATATTTGGAAAAAGAAATGTTGGAAATTCAATTACAAGAAAATCCTTTAATTATTGTAAGAATATATATATATTCGAAGACGTTTTTTTCTTTTAAAAAAGAAACTAAATAACTAACGAGCTTAAGAAAATCAGGGATTATTAGTTGACTGCTATGCTGTTCTTTAGAACTTGCCCAATTATTGGGTTCTGGAATTAAAATCAGGATCTTAAGTTTCTTTTGTAAGCAGTATAACTTTAAACCACTGAAAAGAAATCCATTTTACTACACTGCCGTCACAGTCAATCTGGCCGTACTTCCAAACTCCTGAAATTTACAGATTCGAATTTATCATTAGAACATAGTGGGTTTTTATCCTCTAATATATGTTTTAAAGAATCCAAAAAACCGAAATGACACTTGCTGCTCTGAGGAAAAGTAAAGCTGTACAACCAACTAAATTTTTTCAAAGTCATAATTTAATAATTTGATGTTTTCCAGTAGCAATTGTTGGTGAACCTGGAAACTAGCATGAACGGTTATCTTGGGCTATCTAGTTTACATATATTCGATTTATACATAGCTTCATGAGAAAAAATATATAAAGCGGACTTATTCCTCTGTAATATTCTATCGTTTTATACAGGGATGTGGTGTTCTTAATGTATATATTTATAATAATAAATATAGTCTTTTCATCTTTTTTAACTTATAGTCCTCATTCCTACCTCATATTATTGATATAGTACATTGTGACACAAGTTTACATATGTAGTTATGTTAATATTGGAGTTCAGGCTACATACATCGTCCTGATCTCAAGTGATCAGTCATGTGTCTTTGCCTACTAATCAGTGTTTTTCACTTCAACGTAGTAGATAATCCCCTTTTATTTAAAGCAATGAGTGCTTAGTTCAAGTCTCACTGAGAATGCAATCTTTCACCGCGTTATATGTACATAGATATATATCAATGAGTTCCAAATATGGAGGAGTGCAGGTTACTCTATGTCAATTCTAATCATTAAATGTGCAATGAAGATGCAATTACAGTCAGTATCAAGGCTGATTGACTGATCTATGTCTATGAGATAGCTGTATTCTGTATATGAATACTTTAGGTGATATAGTTCAAAGTTGATCACAGTAGTTTTGACCCATGGTTTATCTTTTTCTAATTCTAAAATTTACAGTTGTCTAATTCTTTTTATTCTTAAATTGTATCCGTATTTTTAAAACTTATGAGTGTTCAATTCCTGCTTCTAAATTTACTTTAGTGTTTGGTATCAATATTATTTCCATCCCTTTACTTTTCCTCTTGTTGATTTCTATCAGTTATGTTGATGTGTAGTGTATAACAACTCAGATTGATACAAATTTGTACCAAGTCCTACATTTTTAATATTAATCTGCCAATAAAACTCGTATGTCAACAAGGATTGGTCAATTCAATGTTGAATTTCAAGAACGAAAAAAGTATATAGATTTAGTTTCCCTGTGTTATTGATTATTGGAGTGAATAATATAAATGACCTTATTTCCCCTTTTCTTTTATTCCATTTACAGTGAATGATTATTTTGCACACAGACATTATTTAAATTTATACGAATTTTTCTCTGCATAATTTTCATTCATACCAATTTTGTTTATGGTGAAATATATAATTAGGCCACTGATTACATTCATCAGTCACTATTCACATTCGGATGTCCATTATACCGGTTCGTTTAGTAATATATAAGCTTTGGTATAAATTTATACATTGGTGTGAATACGTTACAAGTTTTAAATAATACCGCACATAATTCTTAATGGTACATAAATTTTTTGTGTTAACCTAGTAAAATTCAATGCATTTTAAAATATTGTTTTATGGACTTTTTATAGACTGCGATGTATATTAGAATGTGTTTAAACATTTAGATTTAGATATTCCTATTTTATTAAATGCACAGTTGAAACTCTTTTTTTCTTCATATTTTGACTCGATTACAATTTTAAGCCTATAATCCCAGAAATAAAGTTTTTATTTAAAAAGGCCACACGAACCCAGGTACACTAAATCTAGAGGGCTGTATAATATCCAAAATGCCAAAATATGTAGAATCAAAATGCTGACAAGTATTGCTCACTAATGAAACTAGCGTTACTTTTGAATACAAATAAGTTTTCCAGAAAAAGCAATGACAATTTCCAAGGCGAAGTAACTAAAATCTCTAGATTTAATCGCCCGTTTGTTTAACATGTCTAATAAATGGATAGTTTAAAGTGTAAACTACAATCATGGAATATGGTGTTATGTGAATTAAAGCAGTGTCTATCTGTACTTAATATGAATTTATGTGTATTTGGATTCTACCACATTATGATACTGTATAGATTTAAAATCCTTATCACGGTCTTTTTTTGTCTGGATATTTCATGTTGCTACTCTTCTCAGAAATACTCTGAGATGATGATTGGTTAGAATAGTCTTGATTTATCAAGTGATTGTAAATTTGTGAAGAAAGTTAACCAAACTTTTAAATGAATTATTTTAGGAATCCAAAATTGCTCAGAATATCATCAGATATTTTCTTCACAACGCTTATAACGGTGATGATAATCCATCAATGTATGTCAACAATTTACCAGCTCGCCTAGCTACACTAAAACATCCTACGTTAGTTGTTTTAGGCGGTCTCAATACATGCATTTTAAATTGTATGCAGTCATTTTCACCGTCTAGAACAGTATGGCAAACTTGTCCGTCTATGCCCGTCGATAGTTTAGCGTGGTTTTCTGTTTCTGTCATTGCGAATACTCTATTTGTTATTGGTGGAATTAAAGTGAGTTTTCTATTTGTATTTTTCAAAATAGTCACCAGACTACGATATTATTTGAAAAGATTTAGTGCTTTTATATCTTCTGATTTTTTTCTGATGATTGCAAGCATCCACTAAGATGTTATTTTCGGTCGAAGTTTTAAATGTATTTTTATTGATAAACAAGTTTTCCTGTGGTCTCAAAAATATTCTCACTGTCTTCCTGTAACGTTCACTCCTGATTCGTTAGTAAAGCACCTTAGCGATTAAAGACAATCCTGTATCAGCTATCACCAACTAACTAATTTGAATAATTATTTCGCTTTTTATCGAGCGAAATTTTATAAATTTAATTTTCGTACTGTAGTCCAATAATTACTATCTTCCAGTTTCTCATTGTTATCTATAGTGAGAACTAATATTCATCACTATTTTTTATGTAACTTTGATTTGGTATCTTAGACACGACTTTTACAGGTTTAAATCCCGTTCTACCTACCAAAGGTTAAGCGCTCATATAGTATGGTTAGCCACCATACACTAGATGTACCTCATAGTCTATTAAATCGGTTTGTTTCTTCCTATAGGCCGGTACACTCATGGATTCAGTATATGCGTATTCACCTGTTCGATCTTCATGGAGTCAGCGCAAATGTATGCCGCAGGCGAGAGCTCGACATTTTTCTGTTTCTGTCGGTAGCCGATATATTTTTGTATTCGGTGGTGTAACAATGTCTACAAATTCTAATCATCGATATCATTCATCAGATCGTGTAATTATGAATCATTTACAAGAAACTAACTCTTCATCAAACAGGCGGAATCACATTTCCTCGCGATTGCCAGCATTCAACCCAAATCTTCCGGTAACTGAATTAGATATTCCTACATTGAATTTTGAAAAATCCATTATTCGGTATGATATCTGTAGCGATACATGGCTTAATGTAGGAGAAACAGATAATCCAAGACTAGAGTCACATGTTGTCTTGATTAATGAATCGAACGAGAATGCAAGTTTCAATCTACAATCATCTGATGGAATTCATGAGACGGATAGTGAGCAAAATTCATTACGTTCGGATTTATCAGGTAAAGCTTTGTTGTCGAAAATTGAATGCATTACTATTTTATGTCTCATGCTGCTGTGTTAACTAGATGATTTTCTTGTTGTTCGAATCGATTACATTACCATACATCATATATATTAATGGCAAACAAAAATCCCTATAATACCATTACATTATTTTATTTTATTTAAACACATATATATTGGTACAAAAGGGCACCAGATACATATGCGCCACACAAAATAATGAAAGTAAGAAGAGAAGGGATGAAAAGATAAGGCGGACTGAAATGTACAACCAGAAGACTCTTTCAGTTAAGAAAGTTAGAACCACTCTTCATGTAGAAAGTAAAAGAAGGTTGCAGCAGCCTCGCCACTGGCTTCTATTCTGAGCCATATCTGATAACGTCTCTAGCCACTGTGTTGCACCATCTCTCGGACTCCAGCCAGGGAGTCGTGAAGGACCAGCAGAAGCTAGCCCTTTGCAGCTTTCTTTCATGCCACGACACCATGTCATACACTGATCTCCTCTCCGCTTTTTCCAACCAGTCCCAGAGTCGGCAAATAATGCACGGTGTGGAAGTCTCTGAGACGACATTCGTAAAACATGTCCAAGCCACCGAAGTCGGTGTTTCAAGATGGTGACACCAATTGAATTATCGTCTCGGCGCATTACTAACATGGTGTTGCCACTGTATGTCAGCAATCCTTCGGAGACAACGATGATCGAACACAGAGAGACGTCTAACATCCTCAACTCGGAGAGGCCAGGTTTCACAAGCATAGAGCAAAACTGCTCTCACCAACGCGTTGTAAATCTGACCTTTTACAGCCAGACTAACATGGCCCAGATTGGCATAAGCCGCTCTGGCTTTCTTTATACGTGCATCAATCTCATCACTCACGCCACCACCAGCACTTATATAGCTACCTAGATACACGAACTTCTAAACTACTTCGATCTGCTCACCATCCAGGGTGAGTACAGGATTAGAATCCTGCCAGTCTTGTAGAAGTACTTTGCACTTGGAGGGTGCAAAGCACATGCCGTACCTGCGGACACTGATTGCCAACTGATTAAGTGCTGATTGCATGCCTTGGGCATTATCGCACAGTAAGACAATATCATCCGCATACTCAAGGTCGAGAAGTCGTTCTCCAGGCAACATATCCACACCGCAATTACTTACATTCATCAGAGCTGTTTCCAGGATGTCATCGGTGGCAAAGTTGAAGAGGAATGGTGAGATCGTGCAACCCTGCCTAACCCCACTGCTCGAATGAAACAAGGGAGAAAGGTGGTTGTATGCCCTCACTCTGCCTGAGGTGTTCGTATACAGGGCCTTTAAGATGTTAATGAACTTCTCAGGCACACCCTTCTTCAATAGACAATCCCAGAGAACAGTCCTGTCCAACGAATCGAAGGCAGCCCTGATATCAAGAAACACTACGATTGTTGGCCTGCGATAAGTATGACGGTGTTCTAACATTTGGCGGAGGGTGAAGATGTGATCAATACATCCTCGACCAGAACGAAAACTAGCCTGCTCCTCGCGAGTCAATCGTTCTCGGGTTTTAAACAACCTACGAAGAATGACAGAAGCCAATAGTTTGGACGCAATCGGAAGTAGACTTATCCCCCAATAGTTGTTGCAGGAACAACGTGAACCCTTTTTAAAGATAGGGACAACTATTGAATCGTTCCATGATGTTGGAACACTTTCTTGCTCCCAAACCTTTGCAAACAACACCGTCAGTTCCTTAGCCAGAAAGTCGCCACCATCTTTAAAAAGCGCCGGAGGTAAGTCATCTGGGCCAGGTGATTTGTAGCGCTTCAGGAGTTGGCGTTCCTTGCGGACTTCCGCCTCGTTTGGTGGATCAGTCGTCACCAGCCATGGGGGGCAGGACAAACTGGTTGATGTTGCCGGAGCAGCAGGCCAGTTGAACTGCCTTCGAAAAATTCCGCCCATCGTCCAAGACGTCGAGAGATTTTAGTGATTGGCATCCCGTCATCCTCGTAGATTGTTTCACTCACACCAGACTTCTTGCTGCCAGTGGCTGGGATGAGTTGGAAGAGCTTCCGGCAGTTACCAGATGCAGCTGCTGCTTCCATCTCATTAGCACGCTCCGACCACCAGGCTTCTCGGTCCTTACGCAAGGTTTGCCCAATTTCTTTACGTACAACCTTCGTTTGTGGTCAAACTCACGGTCACCCGGAGTAGACCGACGGGCTTCCATCAGTTGTAAGGAGTCAGAAGAAATTCAGTGCTTGTAAGCGGGACGTTTCGAGAAGCCGGAAGCGGCTTTACTCGCCATTTTCATGGCGTCGTGAAGATGAAACCAATGCTCATCTATACTTTTCGGTGGGATGGTAGTTAGCCTAGAAACTCACTCCGCTCGATACTTACCTGCAACAGATGTTGCAGCCAGTTTACTAACATCAATCCGTTGGCGGTGGTCAATCCTTCAGCCACTGAAAAGTAAGGTGAGATTGGCGCAGACCAGGGCATGATCAGACTCCAGATAGGTACTCCAAAAGGAGCGGCAGTCTTGTACACAACCACGCCAGCGGTAGCTGATCGCGATGTGATCAATCTGAGTCCAGGCTTGGGATGCAGAGGGAGGACGCCAGGTGGCACACCGGCGATGACTGTGCCGGAAGTTAGTGCTGGCCAGAAACAGGTTGTGGTCTGTGCACAGTTGCAGTAGACGGTCCCCGTTATCTGTCCTGCGACCAACAAGTCCCCATCGGCCACCTAAACGATTCTCTTCTGTGCCTAGACACCAGACCTCTGCATTCAAGTCTCCGGCTAATACTACAATATCTGTCGAACGCGCTTTCTGGAGAAGAACTGTTAACTGGTGGTGAAGCTCATCCTTGATTGCATCCGGGCTGCAATCTATCAGGGCATAGGCGAAGATGACGAAAAGACACCGTTTCTCACGCCAGTTTCTTCACACTTTGATGGAACTTTCTAGTCTAACAGCACATAACCGACTGTTAATGGGGATCCAATCGATTAGTGCTGCCTCAGCCCTAGCGCTTAATGCAACACCAACGCCTGCAAGACCAGACGAAGATGTCACAGAGTCCCCGGATAAGCGCACGTGGAACAAGCTTTTCGAGGCGACAGATGGAGAGCGAATTTGTAGTACTTCACTAGAGTCTTGAATACGGGTCTCGGATAGATAACAAACGTCAACTTTAAGACTTTCTAAAGACATAGCCAGCCCCATCTGTTGTCCGATCTGCATTAGTGTGCGAACGTTGAAGGAAGCCAGCTTGAAGGGCGTACGTGGTTTCAGAAAGACTGCTTCAGTATTCGTAATCGGTGGAAGCATTCACTTTCAACTAGACAGTGACTGGAGATCGTTTAGATAGGACAGAGTTTCCACCATGGGCGAGCTACTGCATAAATTGGAAAGGAAGGATACACAATTTGGGAATAAAGGGAGTGAAAAAGCGACGTAGTAAATAATAGTAATAATAATAACAATAATAATAATAGTGTAAATTGTCTTGCTTCTAGTATGAGCGAGAATAGTATCGTCAATAGAATTCATCATTTCATTTATTTGTGTGTGGGCTGTGATACTGCCCGGGTGCACAAACCGAAGCAGGTGGTTTTCTTAAGGGGCCACACCCGGACATTTTGACCTAAAGGTCTGATCCACAAGGCAGTGGAGCATCGTGAGGAAATGCAGTCCCATGGTAGCCGTTGACCAATGACAGGTTCGTCCGCCATTCGTTCTCTCAGGATACTGGAGCCCATGTGCACTATTGGTTTGGAATCAGGGTTTTCCAACTCCCCTAGGTGGACCCTCCGTGTCCACCAAACCGGTTAAAGCGCCGGACATTCGCTTTTCGTCCTCTTAATTTCGTAAACAACAGTAATGCCATGAGAAGGCAGTGAGTAGGACTTCCCTGGCAGAGGCTGTATATTCGCTGGCCATGTGAGAGCATTTCGAGAGGGAGAGTGGACTCTCCCCACTCTCGGCCGTACCAGGGCATTTGGGGGCAATACCATTACATATATACAAGGAGTATGGATTCTGTTCTTTGTTGAGTTTATTTCAAAAACTTGTTCAAGTATATCTTATAGTTCTGAAAATTTTATTGTAGATAATGTCTCATTTAACACTTGTAGTAAACATATTTATAGATTTTCAAATCTCAGTACCAACCGATTTTTCAAATAATTTATAGTCCTTAAATAAGAATTTGGAAATTGGTTCATTGTAAGTGTTTCTTTCCGTAGAGTAACACCAACTGAAGAACCATTATAAATCTTGGTGTAGTGAGATGTTTCGTACTAGCTCATCTGGTTTATGCCCTCATGACTACACACAGTATCGAACTCATAACCTTCAAGCACGATATATTTAGGTTACTGAGTATTCATTAACAGAACTACTGAATTCCTAATATTTTGCAACCATCGTCTGATGTTTTCAATGTGTGATAGGTTCAATCACACTTCTCTATCCATTTCTACTTCACTAAGAATGTCTCGCAAGATATTCAGCCTGAAAATCTAAATTATTTTATGTGAACCTGGTCCCTTACCTTTAACAAACTGATAATAGTGGCTTTTGACCGAGAGACTTCAAGTGAAAAATTTGTTAACACCCTACTGAAATGGTTTTAATAGGAAACTCATCCAGTTCACGGTATTACCACCGTTTCTTGGGCATAAAGAAATGAAATAATCATTTGGGGTTTAAATCACTGGTAATATGATTGAAAAATATGTTGAAAATCCGTGTTTGACTGCTTAAATATGCTGTTTTATAAGTCCAATCACTAGTCTGAAAGATGACTCGTTAATTGATTGCTTCTAATGTGGAATGTTTCATTGAACATGTTTTTAGGTTTTCGTAGATTCCATATACATGTGTATATGCTAATTCAGCAGATGACCAATTTGATCCGGCAGTAACACTGCTTTTTCCTAAAATTTTACTTAGTGTAGTTTCATTTGATTAAACATAAAATGGAGAGAATAAATGATCCAGAATTGAAGTTAGGTTAACTAAAAACAGAAAGTGACCAATGTTGTTTTTGTTGCCATTATTGTTATTATTATTGCTATTATCATTATTAATATTATGATTATTGATATTATGGTAACCGCAAAATATTGGAATAATTTTAGATCAAGTCAATGGATAAGAATTAAATGACTTCTTCTGTAGATAGTGTTCTACAAAATTATCGAAATCCAGGAAGACGTTTCATATGTTTGAAAATACACTGATCTCTATGTTGTTAAATAGTTGTATCAGTTGGTGTCTACAGTGAATAACGGTAACAAAAATACAGGAATTCAATGAAACATTTTAGACCTAATTAGATGACTTTTCAAAATTTTAAACAAAATGCTATATATAGAGAGACCTGTTTACAGTGAAAGCAAATCTCAAGATCTTGTCAAAGCGTAATCGTATGTGGTATTGTAATTAGGGATCACTGGTTACATAAACCACTGTAGTTTCATTCGTTTACGATCTTTTTTTTACTTGCATGTATTACATGCATATTTAACAGATAGGATATAAGTCCCTGTTTAGGGAATGGATTTTTATCCGTTATATCATAAGTTTGAAAGCTGGTTAGTACCACAGTTTATGAACTCGTGTATCATTGTTTGCTTATCTAAACAATACAAAATGTAAGTTTAAGTTCATTTTTTAGGACAGCAGTCGGTTAGTACCATCAAGGCACATTCCGTATATAATGTGGTTACCGTATTCATTTATTGTGAAATAAGTCTAAATGTCAGAGGACTTTTAAAAAATAAAGTAGAAAAGTGATACCACTATTTGTATGTTTTTAGTAGAGAAAAGAACTTGATAAACGATATGGTCAATATATTTTCTCCCAAATTGTAGGCTAATGGCAACAGTCTAAAGTGAAGTCAAAGTGTTTTATAGCATACAGTCTTAAACCTCTGTTTCTTCAGAATAAAACGAACACACACAGGATGTCATTATTAAGTGTAGAGTGCCATGCATGGAATATTAAATTAGTTCATATGGTTATAAATATTCAATAATTAGAGGAGTGAAACATATTCAACACGAAGCTTAACTTATTGCTTTTTGACCCTTCTTTTTGTTTAATTTGTTTGGTATGAGCTAAAAGCTTTCATTTGTTAAATTGATGACCATGTTCTGCTGCCATCACTTTACACTACCGCTAAAACAGTGGGATTTATATATTTGTTTTTTGATCGACTGTAAAATACTTGGACTAAAATCAAATTCAGATTGAAAGTAAATATCATTCCTTATATGATACTATCGAATCTTTTCAACATGTATATACCTTAGTGTTTGTTTACAGTCTTGTATAGTTGAATGTGGGGATTTCAGAAATTGAACTTTGCGACTAAAGTTTCATCTTTGGGTCTATCGAATTATATCAAGTATTTAAGTTTGAAAAAAATATTTTTCCATATATTAATAGTGTTTAATTCCATTTTAACGGTTTACTTGGTAGTTATTCAAATTTCTCCTAATATTAGATAACACATCAGTCTCAGAAAATAATACTACCAACAACAATAGTAATGGTACTAATCAAACCAATAAAACCCGTCGAAGAAATAATTCCATGAATGTAAATTTTGAACGTGTTTTTGTTGAAATTGGTGGAATAACTGAATCACAGCCACATGGTACGGATCAGGTTGCTTTTTATCGTTTACGTCCTGACTATACAGTATTTTGTACCGCGGATTACATAAAACTCCCACAACAAGTTCGATATGTGAACTGTTGTGCGCATCAAGTAAGCTGGTTGTTAATTTTTTTTGTATATGAGGAGTTTGTGGATAAACAATAATTCTAAATTATGATGAGGCTTTATCGTGACATGCAATTTTTGTGGTTCACAAAATTCCTTCATTTCGTCCTGATGAAATATTCAATTATAACCAGTTAGTCCCTATGTTTGCATCTCTTTATTTAATCTTTGGAGTTTTTTCTCAACTTGAGCCTTGGAAACAAGTTTCACTCTTATCTATTGAAGTCTATGAGAAAGCTAAGATTAACATTTAAAAGCCTAATTTTACGTGACTTAGTGACAAGAATACAACCGTTTGCTTAAAGAAAGTGAAGAACATCTCGTTTTTCCAATACTTTTTTTGTTTTCCTCCTTTTAACTTTTGTCCATAGTATATTTTACCAATTAATCACCTATTGGTAACCGATATCATGTTAACTAGTCATTAATGTTAAAGGAGTTTTGTAATGGAAACATTTCTGCATGTGAAACTGAATGAATGTGGTCTGAATCCCACGGGAGTATTGCACACATGTGTAGTTGTTAGGTAGAAACTAGGACGAGCTTTCGCCTAGCTATCCTCAACTATCATAGTATCTTTCTCTATATTCACACACACTCTCTCTCTGTTTTATTATCACCCTTTATGGTAATATAAAGTTTAGTAACTTCTACATAATGGTTGAGTTTTAACATTTTTTGTCGTCAACAGTAGTATTTGAAGTCTTTTTAGGCGTTTCCGAATATATTACACCTTATACCTTTGGTGTTTCCTATGTTTAAGTGTATAAATTAGGGTTTAACTACAGATTTAGTCATGTTTATATAACACTTTCTAGTTGTTATCCTTGTTGATAAAATCGACATTTAGAACTATTATACTCTCCTTACTTTACTTGTAAAGCAAGCTCACTTTTTCTTTGTCACAAATACATTAACTTCTCATTGCGAGTAAAAAAGAAGCCGCTTGTTTTACTAGTCCTCTATATTTACTAAAAAAAACTATTGGATTAATAAAGTCACTAAACCGTATACTGTAGTGATTCCAAACTATATCAGAGACAGAATGTGCTTGATGAAGGATACGAAATATCGCTTTTGCTGAGATCAGTGTGTTTGTAAAAGTTTTCTTGTTTAACCACTCTATTACTTATTCGCTAACTGGTTCGTATTCAGTCAGAGTAAACAATTGGATTTTCACAATCGTCATGGGCTGTGTCTGAAATCTGATTAAAATAACTCCTAATTTCGATCTCTGAATATTTTCTCCTTATGATACTTCCCGTATGTATTTGTACAGTGATAGGATGTTCGCTTAAGAGTTAATGAACTCGATTTTTAACTGTTAGGTAGTAGATTTAGATCATTTTTCATTTACTTCGAGTAACAGCATAACTTATACCTAAAGTGTTTCTCAAATACGAGCAATAAATTCGCGCCTAGTAATTAAGTAAATGATTATCTGTCCAGTGACTAAATAAAAAATGAATTTAGTAACAATTTTGTGTTTTTCTAGCTCTATAAAAGTCGTACATATTGCTAGAACTTCTATTTTTATAAACATTAATTTAATGTTCTATAGTAGGTCTTAATGATGATTCGTTTTCACTTTCCCCACATATACGTCGCCTGTTTTTTCTTAGGATACCAACCTGGTGTACATATTTTGGGAATCAACAAGTGAATTATCAGTTTTGGATCTTCATCGTCACACACTACGCTCACTAGCTCCCTTGGTTTCTTCCTCTACTTCATCTCCAAACGAAGCACGGATTCATGCTGGGTTATCGTGGGTTGGAGAGCATTTGTATGTGGTTGGAGGATTTAGTGAGTTTGTTGGTGATGATCGACGTCCTACTGGTCCACGAGATGATGTCCACTGCTATGATCCGACAACGAACACATGGTATGTTTTGCTTAGTTAACATAATGCTACATTTTGTTGTTACTGAATTACTGATTAGTATTTTTCTTTTCTTAATTTATTTACTACAGGTCTTGCATTAAAGTTCTCAATACAACAGTCCCTCGAGCTATCTTCGGTTGTGTTTGTCTCAATATGTGATACACCAATATTGGGGTTGTACGAACTTTCATATCCTATATATATATATATATATATATATATATATATATCATAACAAAAATTATGTTTATTTTAATGTGATACTTCCTAATCGTAGGACCTAAATATAAGAAGGATGTTTTCTGTCCACCTATTTTCATGTGATTTTTTAAAAATTTTTAACTGTGTCCATTATGCGAAGACATATATTTGCTCTTTAACTTGCCAAATTATTTCATTTTAATTGTCCCGCTGGTTCGGGTCGTACATTTGTTTTGTGAGATATCACCTAGGTATTATAATCATCAGAGTGTTATCCACAAAAATGCATTTATACTGTTGTCAAATTAACTTCGTTGTTTTTATTTCTCTAATAATGGAAGCATTTGTGTACGTCTTGTCAAATTATTCATTTGTAGTATTAGACTCAATAGTTTTCGTTGAGAATTATTATATTTTGTAGTTATTTAATGATGCATTGCACTACAATTCCTATAATTCTCTCCTCATAGCCTGAAGAGTAGAATGGCGGCTCATTGGTCAAAATATTTGACTTTCAGTAACTAGATAGAAGGTTCAGGTCTCACCCCACCTATCTTGATTTCAGCACTAGATTTTATCACTGTCCCTCTTGCCTAAAACGTGACTCAAATCCAAATATATAAATTAGACTCAGTGAACTACTTTACTATTTCGTCATGAGAGACTAATAGGGATGCAAGCCACTTCTTTTGTTTTGGCTGATTTCACGGCAGTTTTGAGCGACACTCATAACTGGCAAAATGTAGCCATCGATTTTAGTATCTGGCTACTTGATTTGTTCGATACTCTAATGAGTCGAAGACTAACGAAATATGATTCATTTAAAATTTCACATCACGTAACCACGATACGGATTTCAAGTGTAAACATTGCAGCAAGGGTTGTAGATATTGTAGGAATTTTTAGCGAATACCTAGGATTGATATTTCCAAATATACGTTTATACATAGTCTTAAATTACATGAAATAACGTCCCTAATGCAGTTTGTGAGTATTTTACCGTTTGAACAATTTCCTTACCAGTAAAACACTGACTTACTGTTTTCATGGCAGCTACATGAATTGTTATTTTAATAAAGTTAAACCCCATAAATGTGACTTAATATTATTACTATAAGTAAGTTTAGTACCGGAAATGGTGTTCCATTCTACGAACTACCTGAAATTTTATTCCAATAAACTGATTCCATGTTGTAGGTGTTCGGAATCCCATTGTCGTGTGACCAGTTATTTCAAGCGACATATTGGATTCCAAATCATAGGTGATATCAGTCGTATATATGGCAGATAGTAGTCTTGTATCACAGTCGCTTCTTTTTCTGCTACAGAGAATAGGAGAAACAAACCAATGATGATGAAGTATCGGGATGTATCCCAAGAGGAAACAAATAACTTATTGCTGGTAACTTCGAAACATCGCTTAGACCTCAATAAGAGATTCCGCATATTTCACAAGATCCAGTATAAGCATAGAATTTCCCACTAAAGGCCGCTGGCATGAGTTTGTTCTTTTGACATCTGCATTAAACATTCAAGTAGATGATGGTTCGGAATGATACTAGAACCTAGCCTTTTCCGGCTCATGTACGCTTACAACCTGCCGTACAAAAGTAATTTTTGTCTGGCCTTAAGAACAGATATGCTATGTACTTGCCTGAAAGAAATAAACCTTACAAACAGTAGTAGGACGAGTGGCCTTCAAACTTCGAGGAATTAGCTAATGTGAGGATTATTAACACAACCCCAGGACGTGGCCGATTTCGCTGTTCTCAAACTCCAGTTCGGTATCATGTCTGCTGACTAAAAGCTGTAGTTCAAGTTTATTCATCTACGGTCGTCACAAAAGTATTGCTTCTTTATGATATTAGTGATGAAGATTAATCTGGGACTTTATAGACTATCTGGAACCTCATTCATTCTAGCCGATTTCGTCAAAACTTGTGTCTGCTTCATTTAAGGTTAGCTGCAATTAGGGCCGAATTTCGGAAGCTAGTGTTAACATGACATCCAGATCTTGGCTAGATGAGCGTAAGAACCAGTTGGTGACTTTGGGGATTACTTATTGTGTCAACTACCTATCTTGGAAACCCACTGTAGACTCACCTTTCTCTGGGATAATCGTTATGTATACGGCAGTTTACGTACATCTAAATAGCTAATGCTTTTCCTACTACCACTGCTCGCAACCATCAAGGTTTGCATTGTAGCCGACTTTATCTATGGTTCTTGGGGTCAGCTGCAAAGTCGCATCCACTCGTTAGTTCAGATAGAGCTAAGTATAGTACATGAACCACTAGTAACAAACTGGATATTAATAGATATGCGTTTATATGTGGTGGACTAAATAAAACAGGAGTCAAAATTTTCCGGGTTTACACATTATTTAGATAAAAGATACTATAATAGTTCGTTTCTTGACCACTAAATGCTCTGTTACAGCCGAGAGTGAGGAGAGTTCCCTCTCAAATGACCATGCGTATACAGCCACTGTTAGGGAAGTGCTGCTCACGGCAGGGGTGTTATTTACGAAATTGAGAGGACGAAAAGCGAATATCCGGCGCTTTAACGAAGCCACCGGATACGGAGGATCCACCTAGAGGAGTTGGAAAACCTTAATTCCAAACTAACGGTGCATATGGGCTCCAGGATCCTGAAGGAACAAATGGTGTATTGACCAATCGCTGGTCACCGGCTACCATGGGACTGCATTTCCTTACGTTGCTCCATTGTCTTGTGGATCAGACCTGTAGGTCGAAGGCTCCGGGTGTGGCCACCTAGGGGAACGACCTGCTTCGGTCTGGGAACCCGTGCAGTATCACAGCCCACACACAAATCAAGTGACTTGTGTGGCGCATATCTATTTGGTGCCCCATTTGTACTAGTATTTATGTGTTCAAATAAATAAATCATTTCTTGGGACCCTCGAGGCGCATCCACTTGCCTCAAACCACTAGCCGGCCAGAGACCACGTTCGTAGACAAGGAAATGACAGTAGTAATTAGCTGCTACAATCGATAACATCGGTCTATACTTGACCATTGTTGATTTATGCCAGAATTCCTAAACTGTTTACCTCAGTGTTTTAAACTGTTATTGATAAAAGGGATTACTGTCAGGAGAAATTTCAACAAGCCATTACAATTACTTGTTCACCAGACACAAAAAAATTTCCTTCAGTTTCCCGAATTGAGTAATGATTATCTGAGAGTTTGAAAACTGTAAATAGGAATTGAAGTCATATGCGTTCTAATCGGTATATATGTAAGGAGAATATACAGATACAAACTGGTGTTCTTTATTTCCTTCATGTTCATACTGAGCGGACTATTAAGGAAGTAAGGTTAACAGACAAATGAAACGCAGTGGATTTGGTATCAGTCCCTAAAATTTGTGAAATACCTAAACTCACAAGTTTAAACGATCAACGTTCTCTAACCCAGAGTTTTTAGTACGATAAAATAACATCGTCTGAAATAGTAGGGTGAAGAAAGAACCTTGCTATCGTTGGATGTAAGGAAAACAAATAATAACTGTTCAGATCATTTTGCTGCGGCCCAACTATTCGTCGCTTAGCTTATTGGTCTTGTTAATTTAAGCTTAATTGAAGTGGATCCCGAGTACCTTTTTGAGAACATATCCTGTTCTTTACAATTTAATCTCAAAATTCTGACAAACCTATTTTACGAAGATGAAACAATTGTAAAGTAGAACCACGTTTATATATATATATATATATATATATATATATAATTGCATCGGTCGCTAAACAAATACAAGAATAAACACTGGAGTTTCAATTTGAATTTATATCGTTGTAGAAAAAAACTGTTTGTACATTTCATGTACATAGTCGCTAAATGCTTTAAAATAACTATTAGGAATATGTTTCATGGTAATATGGCAAAAAAGTTCGTTAATTTGTGCTTATTAGTATTCAAAGATATCATTAATATCTGATAGCCACACGAGTATGTCCGGAAAGTCCAGTTTACTTAGGTCTCTTACACCGAAATTGCTAATTTTTATAACAAAGATTTGTAAGGTTAGAATAGAAGCCCATATATGAGGAAAATGAGATTTGGACCCTATATATTGCGCCTTTTTGTGGGCGATGAAAGCTGAATGATGACGCAGTTGATAAAATTTCATGATAAGAGGAATCAAGAACATTACTCAGATAAAGTAATTTACGTACACCGATACTATAGTAAGAACATGACAACAATGTTCACATAAGAGATGAATTATTGAATACCTTTTGGTCGAAAGAATACACAACAAAGTAAGAAATCAAAGAAATCAACGACTTGGATATAATCCCAGAATAAAACCTCTGAGAAGTGAAGGATAAAATTTGAATTGGCTACATAATTAAATGAATATGCAAAACAGAAACATAACAGTTATTGAAGTCTAAAATATCGCACCTGTGATTTGCAGTGAGTTTGTCCTAAAGAAAAGACATAATTGACGTCATTCCAAAGCTGAGTACATAATGACCTGCTTTAAAACTTTGGTTTGACTTGTCTCACGAATTTCTCCGGCCAGAAACATTTCATCAACAACGCTGTAAACTTTATAGAAGTTAAAGACGAGGTCCAATTCACAAACATTGTGGAACAGTTCATTTAAGACTTCCACAAAATTATGGATCGCCTCTAAATATGCGAGACTATTGTCCATTAGGTCAATACACATGCAAAAATACAAGCCAGCATAACGACGATAAACTATCTTAAAATTTCGAAATTCAACAAAGTTAGTATGCTTGGCATCTCGTACGGTGACCAAAGCATGAACTTCTTCAATTAATTTTTGTTTTTCCTCATCATCAAGATTCATATACCATTTGGCCAAGCGTGTTTTGCCGGCTCTATTTTGTATAAGAATAAATCTAATCATCAGTAGTGTCCTTGAAAACAAATGTCGCTCGTAAGCGTCTTTTAGACACCTTGAAACGATGTAAAATGGTTCAGATAGTTATAAACTTCGGCCAATGTTTGTAATTTTCCACAAATCCTTTTTGTGGTACTCTATTTTTAGTCGATCCTCACACTTGTCATTGTATTGTGTTTTTTTGTCATTTTCCCCTATCAAATCTGCTCACAATGTTCAGCTTTACTTACAGACCTGTGGAGCAAACATTTTTTTAGTCCCAATGAAGTGAAAAATAGAAGATAGTGAAGTGTGGTTAGCATGAAAAGTTGTTCTTTAATGTTCGTACTCGTCTTAAACCTACCTTATACTTAAGATGCTCAAATCCCAACTCCCATTGGCATTGCAAGTTTCATTGTTCGTGTGAAACATTGCCGAACTAGTAGGCCGTCAGGCTTCCGTTGTTGACCAGTGAGACTGTGATTGTGGCTTCGCTTTAACATGTGTATTGATAATGAAAAATGTTTCAGAGCAGTGACTGTTGTTAAAAGGATGGAAT